TATTTCATGGAACATTTTTCTTAAGCTAAAACAGAAACAGTTCAAAATTTTAAAAGTAGACCACATATATGATTGTGTGTGTGTGTGTGTGTGTGTGTGTGTACACATTCTGCAGTGTGTATCACACACACCAATGACAACCTTGAAGTCCATTTTCTTCTGCCACATGGGTCTTGGGGGTTGAGCTCCTATCATCAGATCTGGCAGCAAGGTCCTTTCCCTGCTGAACCACCTCACCAGACTCACAGAGTTGAGATCCTATAATGACATAACAATCAATTATTATTCTTGACTGAACATTTAGATCTTCATCATAAAAGAGGAGAGACAGATAAAAGACAGATTGCTGTAAGTTGCCTTATACCTTTCTTCAGTGATGTTGTATTTAGAATATTAATTTGTGAGATTGAGCGGAGATCCTGTTTGCCCATTTACCGTCAGAATTTAGTCATAATTTGCTTGTAATGTTAATTGACTTTAAAATAGTTTATATATCTGTTCTAAATTTTCAAGTGAACTTTCATTTCACAGAATCCTTACAGTGGCTGATTTGGTTTTCTCCTTTGCTAAACTTCAATACAAATATCCCTACTATTGTTCGAACATGTCAAGAATACTTAATTCTCTAGGGACTTTTTGGCATTTTCTTATCCAGGAACATTTTACTTCCTTCAGGTCTCTGCTTTGTTATCTTAGTGGTTAGCCTCCCTAGACATCTTATAGAATAGCATGCCTCCTTCTCCTATCCCCTTCTCTTACTCTTATTCTCATTCTCCTTTTAATGTTTTTCTCTAACACTTACCAACATTTGACATGCTGTATACTTATTTACTATTCTGTTAGGACTCAGCTTATTCATAGATAACCAGAGTGGTGCCCAACAGTTACTAAGTAATTTATTTAAATTTGAACCATCCATTTTTTTTTTTTTAACATTTCTGTATATGTGTGGGTGTATTCTTCAGATCAGTGGACAATTTGCATTAGTCTGTTTTCTACATCTGTTATGTAAATGTCAAAGATTGAAACTCAGGGTGTCAGGTTTGGCAACAAGCTCTTACCCACTGAACGATCTTGTTAGCTGTCTTAGGGTTTCTGTTGCTGTGAAAAGACACCATGACCACAGCTCTTATAAAGGAAAACATTTCATTAGGACTGGCTTGCAGTTCAGAGTTTTAGTCTGTTGTCATCATGGTGGGGAGCATGGTGGCATGCGGATAGACATGGTGCTGGAGAGGTAGCTGAGAGTTGTGTATCTGGATCCTCAGGCAGCAGGAAGAGCGCCACACTGGGCCTGGCTTGAGTATCTGATACCTCAAAACCTTCCGCCACTAGTGAGACTTCCTCCAATACCACCACATCCACTCCGAAAGGCCACCCGGCCTAAAAATGCTACTCCGTGTGAGCTATGGGGGTCATTTTCTTTCAAACCATCACACTGACCCAAAATTTAAAATTTTACATGTATTACATATGGTAAATTGGTATTGCTGCAGATATTTTCTTTTACTTTTTTTTCTTCTTTTTCTACTCTTTAATGAAAGTATGTTCTATTAGTACTTTCTGAGATGTACTTGGGTGGGGCCTGAGAGATGGCTCAGAGGTTAAGAGCACTCACCGGCTGCTCTTTCAGAGGTCCATTTCCCAGCAACCACATGGTAGGTGGGTCACAGCCATCTGTAATGAGATCTGGTGCCCTCTTCTGGCCTGCAGGCATACATGCAGACAGTACACTGCATACATAATAAATGCTTAAAAAAGGTATACTGACATGAAGTTATAATTCTATTCTTATTTTGGATTTTTGAGACAGGGTTTCTCTGTATTGCTTTGGAGCCTGTCCTGCAACCTGCTCTGTAGTCCATGCTGGCCTCGAACTCACAGAAATTTGCCTGCCTCTGCCTGCTGAGTGCTGGGACTAAAGGTGTGTGCCACCAACGCCAGGCATAAGACTATTATTTTAATGAAACAGACTTTTATCCCCCTAAAATAGTGAAGGATAATAAAGAACATGAAGCATGAAGTTAGTCACTTGATTGAATGCTATACCTTCTCCCATTTATTTTTTTAATGGTGTGTTTAGCATTTGTGGTGTTTAAGTGCGGGCACATGTAGCTGATCAATACCTTAGGAATTGATCCTTGCCTTCTACCTTGAGTGAAGACCTTTTGTTAATTGCTGGGTGCATTAGACCTGCGGGTCTGTTGGCTTCTCAGTATTGTTTCCACCTCCCATCTCTAGAGCAGTGTGCTGGAATTACAGATGTAAGTGTTATTGTGGCTGGCCTTTACGGTGGTCTGGGAACCTGAACTAGGTCAGGCTTGAGTGGCAAACACTGCCACCTGAACCATCTCCACAGCCCATAATCCCATTTCCTTTTCACTATTAGTGCATGTCTGTTCTGTGTGTGCGCCACAGTATACATGTAGAGTTCAGAGTTGGGAAACTAGTTCTGCCGTGGCATCAGCAGGCGTGCATGGCAAGCACTTTTACCAATGAGCCATTTTGCTTCTGTTCCTCCATGCCTAATTTACCTGGGGCTGGAAGGCAATATTTAGTGTTCCCTTGGTATTTTTATACTGTGTCATTAAACAGTTGAGATTGTATCATTTCTCCCTTTTCCTCTCTTGAAGCCTTCTCATATGCCCTTCCTCTCAAATTCATAGCCTTTTAAAAAGAATTGTTGCATACATGTATGTATGTGTGTTTGCGTGTAAGCTCACACACGCATGTGGTGGTATTGGAGGAAGTCTCACTAGTGGCCGTAGGTTTTGAGGTATCAGGGCTCTTTTCCTCATGTAGACTAGCTTTCCCCCTGCCCACTTGAGCATGCCCATTGTTCTCTTCAGCTCATTTTGTGGGGTTTATGGGCTTCTAACGCCCTTAGGAGATTCAATCTCAGAGCAGACTCCCTTACCCTCTGGTTCTTAAAATCTTTAAGATGATCCCTGAGCCTTAGTTGTGGGGTGTGGATATCTGTTGTTACCAGGCTCCACATCTCTTTATTTTGGTCATTTGAGGTTTTCTGTAATGGTTTCTGTCTGGTGCAAAGAGAAGTTTTCTTGATGAGAAGTGAGAACTAACTTACCTATAGGTGTAAGTACAGATACTTAGACTGCATTAGGGATTATGTTGGTTTAATAAAGTAGCCTTGGGTAGTTGGACAGGTTTCTGGTACAAGGCATGGTTTCCCTCTTAGTGAATAGTGTTAGGTCCAGTTAGAGAGCTGTTGGTTACGCCAACGTGTACCTGCCACTGCTGCACCCTTGTTGGGGTTATTGTGCCATGCTGGCTACTGTGCATCATAACTAAGTAGATCTGTTGGTTGCTTGCTTCCTTTGGAAGCTTGTTTAATGCCTTCTGGTACCATGGAAACTAGTCCTGGTGAGGCTTTTAGGTCAATTCCAGGGTCAGGAGACCCTAGGCCCTGTAGCTGAAGTGTACCGAGTTTTCAGGAGTAGGTACTTAACCTTCCATGTCTGGGAGGCAACCAAGGGCAAAGGCCTGTGGTACATTTAATTTTCTGAGACAGTTGTGGGCCTGGGAACTCAATATGAAGATCAGGCTGGCTTCAAATTCAAGAGATCATCTGCCTCCTGAATGCTAGGATTAAAGGTGTGTGTCACCATACCTGACCCCCCAACTGTATTATTGTTAAAGTCCCTTCTCCTTTAAAGCTTCTAAGTACATATCTTTATTGTCTCAGTTAGCCTCCTGATTGTTCTACATCCATTTTGAGGCCTAGGCTTATCTTATCCCCACATTAGAGGCCTCTTAGCTACAGTTTTACTTCCCACTTTTACAGTCTTACTGTCACCTGTTTCCCATGGTCTTATTATTATAAGCCACTCTGCCATAGCCTCTTCTGACTTCCTTGCCTCTCTGCTTCTCTAAATTAGGCTTGTGACCCAACCCCACCCCTTCTACCCACCCTTCCTTCTCTGCTTACCCATAGCATACAGGAATTTCATGTAACTCCATGTAATTATATCTTAGGGGATCAATGCAACAGTTAGGTTAAACTAATTGTTTAATTCAATTTATTTTTCACTTGTACTTATTCTAATAACACTTTTCTGTTTTTAAGATCAAAGCCATTGGCCAAACGGAATTGAATGCAAGCAACCCTGAAGAAGTACTACAGCTGGCCGCACAGAGAAGGAAAAAGAAGTTTCTACAAGCAATGGCAAAACTTTACTTTTAAGCAGTTAGTTAATTTTTTAAACTTTTATTTTTAAACATGAGCTAAAAGTAAACAGTATTAAAAGATTAAGTTTATATAATACATATGTACATTTAGTGGTGTTTTCTTTTTAGACAAAAACCTGAAACAAAATAGTTTTATAAACAATAACTATACAAAAACTTAACACATTAACAAATAGTATACAGTTTCTTCAAAGAGAAAAGGTTCACATGTCTAATAACCTGTCAATGTGGTATCACTTTTTTTTCTAATGATATTGACTTTTTTAGGCCCAAATTCCCTTTTCAAAGGCTAATTTAAAATATTTAATGTATAAGTAGCTATTCTATATACAGCAAGTTTAAATAAATAGGTTTCTAGGAGTCAGTATACATTTAATATTTTTTTCTGCCATAGAAAATAGAATTTTAGGTCACATAAGTTTTACCATGCTGACACGGTCCTCATCTCATAATATAAGGGCTTAAAAATGGACTGACAGTTTTGTAAACATTAGTCATATTACATTTCAAAAATACTTAGGGATAGCTTAGTGTAATAAAGTGACTTTCTAGTATAGTTTGAAAAGGCATTAAAGTTTCACCCAGATTGTGATGTATGAAAAGATTATAAAGCAAGCTTTAGCTAAACTAAAATCCCTGTAAAAGCCAAAGCATTTTTATCTTATTTATAATTTCTTTGGTTCTCCCATTGTTTAGAGCAGTTTAAACATTTGGTTCCATGCCACTGATTAAAAAATATGGCAAGGCAAACAAACTAGTTAAAAACAGATTGAAGTTCACCATTTGTAAAATTTCAAGTTTTGTCATTGTTTATTACAAACAGCTTTAGATAAATTAGTCACTTTATTACAAAACAATCTTTGTAAATAAGTTTAAGTTTCATTTTCAAAAGACAAATTGCACCATTCAAGAGTATAGGAATTTAAGAATCTAAAATCTAGTTTCAGAGTTCTGTGTATGCTAATACATCTTTTAAGTTGTTTAGTCCATATTCCAATGATAAAATTCCTAGTTTACCAAGAGATACACAGTAACACTAGACTTTAAAGAAACACAATAACAAACAGAAACTGCTACAGCATAAATTGTTGCTGGCTTCTATCCACTGTCCTTGGGAGTGAAGTCTCCTCTGTAAACATGTCCTCTTTTAAATGGCTAGAGGAAATATTTTTAGTGCCCATCTTTTTGTGAAGTTTTCTGTTCTGTTCTTTTATGGTGCTAAGGATCGAACCCAAGGCTTCATGCATCCTGGGCATTTAGTGCCAAATTGATGTAGTTTTTATTAAATAAAATAAATGGCAGTGTAATGCCTCAGTAGGCAAGGACAGCCACAGCACTACTCTTCCTGTAACTTATTCATTTGTATGAACCAATTCCAATTTGTTAACTTCAGTGTTTTACTGGTGGTTTTTCAGTACTCTTCGGTGGTGTCATAATGCCGCCATTACACACTGGTGACAACTGCCCTCCTTTTCTGAAGGTGTTCACATAGTTTACTTCATTCTGTACATGTGAAGGAATTATTCATAATTAACAGCTAAGACATATGTAATATATACTTTTATATCTATCTACTACACATATACACATTCCCCCCCCCCCCCCCCCAGATACATGCCTACTTGTTTGAGACTATCCAAGCCTAATTTAATGAGTCTCCCTTAGGCCAGTTGTTTTGTCCCAGCACTCCGAAGGCAGAGGCAGAATGGAGCTATATGAATTTGAGGCCAGCCTGGTCTATATAGCTAATTCCAATAAGTCTCTGTTTTAAAACAACAAAAATGTATTTTAATTTCTTATCTGGGCTGCTGGTCTTGATTTTTGAACTGCTTCACAGTAATATTTTTCTTGAGACAATCTTACTCTGTGGCCCAGGCTGGTCTTGAACTTATGATCCTCCTGCCTCAGGCTCCCGAAAGCTAAGATTATAGGCCTGTGACACAAAACCTGCCTTAATTTTATTATCCCCTTCACATTTTAAAATCAGCATTACTTTTAATCACTTTATATAACTGCCTGAAATATTAATCTATAGTATCCTCTCCAGTACTTGCAGGACTTGACTAGACAGCAAGACATAAAAAGAACAGCGAGGTTTTAAGTTAAAAGAAAAACAAACAAGCCCCAAAAATGAAAAACCATACCAGCAAAGCCAAATAATTTGTGTGTGTCTGGATATTGTGTCTGTCTTCCATAGGTATCTTCTTAAAGGTCTTCAGCCTCACTGGACTTACACTTTTTACTACACTGACAAAAGGCGCCATCCAATCTACACATTCTGAAATGTCATCCCATTCCAAACCTAGATTTTAAAAATTAATAAAATGTTAGTTAGCAACAGAAACTACCTTATATGGCCAGTGTACTTTTTCCTGCTTCCAATTTTTAAAAAGATTTACTTATTATGTATACAGTATTCTGTCTGCATGTATCCCTGAAGGCCAGAAGACAGCACCAGATCTCATTACTGATGGTTGTGAGCCAAAATGTGGTTGCTGAGAATTTAACTCAGGACCTTTGGAAGACTAGCTAGTGTTCCTAACCGCTGAGCCATCTCTCCAGGCTCCTGCTTCCAATCTTTAAGTCATTTAAAAACTCAAAAGAAATGGTCACACATTTATCAAAACTATTTCATGACCTTAAAGCTGAAAGAACACATAGTTTTCTCAAGGCTCATTCTGTAGCCCAACTTGGCTGTCCTCCTGCTTCAGCCTCCCAAGTGCTGGGGTTATAAGCTTGTGCCTCTCACCTGACTCTTTTGAAGGTGTTTTTCTTTTTAGGTTTATAATTTTATGATTCTGCACAAATGCCCACAGAGATCAGATGCCCTGAAACTAGAGTTATGGGTGGTTGGGAGCCACCTGATATGAGGTTAAGAACCAAACCTGGGTCTTCTCCAAAAGAAGTAAAAGAAGTGTGTGCTCTTAACCACTGAGCCGTCCTTTCAGGCCCACTTCAGAGCTAAGATTGATTGATTTATATCTATCATATATACATTGTTCTGTCTGAATGTATCCCTTATCCCTTCAGGCCAGAAGAGGGCACCAGATCTCATTATGGATGGTTGTGAGCTATCATGTGGTTGCTGGGAATTGAACTCAGGACCTCTGGAAGAGCAGCCAGAGCTCTTAACCTCTGAGCCATCTCTCCAGCCCCCACTCCAGAGCTTTATACCAGCACATATTAGTACAAAGTAGTTTGTACTTATTTGCTTCAAAGGAATTTAATAAATTTAATTTCCATGTATTAGTTTGCTTGTGGAGATACCCTAAAGGCTATAAAGTACTTCTAACAGTAAATTATTAAATTGTGTGCTTGATAAGGTGTTAAAGTTCCATTAAAAGTGAACAACAGTCATACCTGTGGCTTTCTTAACTACTTCAATGGAGGTAAAATGGCATAAGGCTGCAGCTGCCAGAATTCTGTATTGAAATTCTAATGAGTCGATGGCGAGGATACACAGATCTAAAAGCTAACAAAGAAAAAGCAAAAGTTTAAGTAATCTAAAAGATGAGTATGTCCCTACTTTATACTATAACTGCTAACTCTTAAATAATTAAGCCACTACCCAGTGTCTGGATAGCAGGGAAAGGAGTAAAAACCAGGATAGGATTATAGGAACATCATGATGATGTATCAGCAGGATATGCACTTCATTTAGAGTGGAAAAAGCTAACACATCCTTCAAAATTAGATAATAAGCTAGGCAGAAAGATTGGTGGACACAAATGTTTGAGATAGAAGAACATTGCCATTACTATAAAATAAGCAAGAAATACCTTCCTTAGCCAAAGGCTAAGGCAAAGAAAGCTAGAAGTAGCCAGTTAAGTTGTAAAGGCCCTTTAGAAGTTAGATCACTACTACTTAAGCTTATTTTAACTACTGTTAAGGTTCTAAATCCAGGAAAGTTACACTTAGAAAAAAGGCCGGTAACCTGGACAGACCAGAATGCAGTATTCTTAATTAAGTGGTATCATCTTGGTAATGCAAGAACCAAAACAGCAGCAGTTGGGATGGAATGATGTAAACGTTAGGTTTTCAGGGTTAAGGCGATTGCTGTTCAGTGAATAAAACTTAGTTTCTGTACTTTTCTGGCAAGAAAGTGCTATAAACTGGAGGAGAGTTGGAAGTGGAATGCTACCACAGATCTTCTGGGTTACTTTGGGATTTAAGTATTTATTTACATGTATGAGAAGTTGGGATTCTTATCAAAACTCGCTTCACTTACATATACCTTATATACTTATGTATTCAATTTTATAGAATATTTTTAGTGTGCCTGTTCCTTGTGACCAATTACTGAAGTGTGGGATTTTTCACACTCAAAAACTCCAATTTCAGAGTATTTTCAAAATTTTGGAATAAGGATATTCAACAAAAGTACATACTAGAAACATTCTACATCTTTGTTGGCTAACAGATTTAAAACACAGGTTCTAACCCAAATGACTTAATACTCATCCAAATTCAATTTCCTATCCTTGAAGTTTATTTTACACTTATATATGGTAGAACTCCAGCCTTCAAAACTTATATGCAAAGAATAGGATCTTCAATCTCTATAGTTACTTTGTTAGAATGTCTGTTATATGCTGGTTTAGGAAAAGTTTAATGAGAATTAAATAACAGCAGGTTGGGCATAGTGGTATATGCTATCTTTAATCCCAGCACTTGGGGGTAGATCTCTGAGTGCAAGGCCAACCTGGTCTTCAAAGCAAGTTCCAAGTCAGCCAGGGCTACATAGAAGAATCCTGTCGGGAGGTGGTTAAAAAAAAAAAAAAAAAAAAAAAAAAAGACAACAAAACAGCCTACCCCCTCAAAAAAACCCCAAAGACAACTAGTTAAAACATTTTGCCCCATATTATATCAAAAGGGTATTTTACTCCAACCCCAAACCCTAAAAAATGGAAATACTTATGAAAGGTTAAGATTTTTCTTCTCTAGAATTATTAAGCAGTGTAAATATTAGGGACAAAAGGTTTTTGTCAACTAAGATGTTAACTCAGTATGCCATATCATTGTGTAGTCCAGGACTCATATATAAAGTAAACAGATCTGTAATGAGCAGTAGCATTAGCTATGTTCAGTAACAGGGTCAGTACCTGAGCTATCTGGATGAATGTCTCCTGAGAATACTGAGGTAGAAGAACCTTGGGAACATCTTTAACAGCATCAACTTGTAGAAAAAGATTCAACCAGGAAATGACTGTTACAGGACAAAGTTCCCATTTTAAAGCCTGTCAACGAGAATTTAAAATTCCCATTAATAACTAAAACACACACACATACCATGGGAGATGTCATTCTGTAAATATGTTTCTCTTATTGGTTAATGAATAAAGCCTTGTTGGCCAATAGAAAAGCAAGATAGGCAGGACTAGGAGACAAGGAGGATTCTGGGCACACAGTCTACATTGTGTATATAGTAGTTTAGAGGCATCAATCAATCAATTGCAATATTTGCTGCATTAACCTTTTAGAATTCTATGCTTAGACTAAAACATAAATTTTGGCTCTTTTTAACAATTTGTTCAAAATTGTATTTTGGGTGTAGGCACATGCTGTGTCTTGGCATGTGACAGTCATAGGACTTTTTACACCATGTGGTTCCCCTAGGAATTAAAATGAAGTCTGTCATGCCTCCCTGGCAGTTACATGCCTTTAACTTACCAAGTCATCTCATTGTCCCTAAGTTTGGATTTTTGCTATATCCAAAGTTAACTCATTAACTCTTATACTACAATGCTGCAACTAAGAAAGAACATTATTATTACCTTTAATATAGAGAGTTCCATCTTTAAGATATCTACTTCACTACAAGCACCGTCAGTGACATAAGCAAACTCTTGAAGTTTGGGAGCGTAGATTTCCTTTAATTTAGAAAATTTTTATTAGGCATTATAAATAAAAATATGTACAGACTATATACAGGCTTCAGTTTTAAGGACAGTCTCATAAGTGATCATAAATCAAAAACATGGGTTTTTTTTCGTATGCGCTGATTTTCAAGGTTTATTTTTCTAGAGTTGACTTTGTATAATAATCAATGTACATCTTATTCCGTTATTTCAATTAAGGAAACAATCACTTTTTAATACTGTCTAGTCTGTTGGTCAGACCAACAAGACACTCTGCAAACAAACTGGGATGTGGCTCATTTGGTTGAGTTCTTGCCTAATTTGTAGGAAGTCTTAACACTGCAAACAGGACTGTCTGTAATCCTATCCCTTGGGAAGTGGAGGCAGGAAGATAAAGATCATCCAGCTGCAGAATTGAGTTCAAAGCCAGCTTGGGCCACTCAAAGCAACAAAATTAAGTTCTAGAATCTAAACATACTACTTGGTATGAAAGAAAATTTATCAAAATATATTTGGCTTACGATTGCTTTGGTAACACGTATACTTTAAAAAACAAAACCAGGCCAGATGTGATAATACACATTTTTAATCTTAGCAGTCAAGAGACAGAGAGGCAGGCAAATCTCTTTGAGGTCTATGTAGTAAGTTCCAGGCCAGCCCGAAAGACCCTGGGCTCAATCCCCAGTATAGGCAGGGGGAAGGAGAGGATTGTTTTGGCTGATGGCAAATTTGTCTTAAGTCCCAAGGATTAGAAATTATAACAGGAGAAAAAGAAGGAAAAAAAAATTATCAGAGGTTTAGAAGAGATACCTGGCTCATGGCAGCAATCTAATGACTATGACTTTAATATACAAAGTGCCTGAATCAATAGGACAGGTGACTTTATGTTGCAGGACTGGGAGATAACTTAAAAGCTGAGAAGGCACACTTGGAAGAGAAAAATATACTCTGGGATATTAATGTGCTCCTAATGGTACCAGCTGCAAAGAACACTGGTAACAACCAAATAGGGTGTTAAAAGTAATATATGGTAATTACATATTTTTAAAAGTTTGAGGCAATAGTTTTTTCCCAACATGATACCAACATTAGATAGGAAAAATTTGTCTTGATAGACTATTATTCTTAACCAACACAACATTTCTTTGATTTGACTGTAATTTTTAAAGACCATTCTTTTGAACCCCTGTGCTATATAACTTTGTAAGAACACTGATGTAATTTATCTGATGAAATGAGCTGTAATATTCCCAGCATCTAGAGACTAATATAGACAAACTATATACTAGAGATTAAAATTAAGACCTACGATAATTTCTTCTTCCGCTAATGAAACAATTCCTATTCCCTAAAGATTTAATACAGAAAATGATAGTAACCTGAGATTAATATGCTCATTTAGAAACTAGGTTTACAGTAAATATATCTGGATGAAATGTAAAAACTTACCTCCAGTTTAGAAGCAATGAACAATGAGGTAATCCCAATGAGTTGAAGCATATTTTTATTTACATCTTTTTGTGTCAACATAAATCTGTCAAAAAAGTCTTGGGCAAGGTAAAATGTCTCCCTATGAAGTGTGTATACTTCACAAACCTGAAGGATAAAAATATTCAAATATCATCCAAATTAGAAAGTCATTCTTATTATACCAAATTATGGACTGCTTTGAGGCTACTATGTTAATATATTAACATAACATAGCATGTATGGATAGTGAGCCCATTATCGTCCTCATTCTCCTAATTTTACAGCTTTTCCTTTTCATATTTTTTGTAGGCTAATGTAAAAACATCGTGATAAAACAAAGAGCTTATACTGGTTCCTGGCACCAGAGTCTCGATAACTCATCACTGCTTATAACCTCAGTGATAGATCTGATGCCCTCTTCTGATCTGGGCACTTGCACTCAATTTACACATAATTAGAAATCTTAAAATCAGGAATAAATCAGGAATAGATGTTGCATTTCAAAAATACCTTTCCCATGTGTTGACAGGTATTTTTTTTTTCAAACAATGAACTTACTTTTACATTCAGATTGAAAGTAAGTTTCTCATCACACAAAGTAAAAACTTTAGTTAACAGATGTCTGACTAGAATTACTATATAGATATAATTATATAACTATATATTCAGAAGTAGACCTTATGTTCAATTTCAGATCCCCCAAATGAAAAAAAAAAAAAAAAGCAAGCCTAACAACTTTCTTGTTTCCTCTCCATGCTGTTAATGCATAATCTTTACAGACAATGACCTGATAATTTCTGAGATCTGCCATGTTTACCGACCAAAAGTTCTACCCAGAGCCTTCCTCCCTTAGAACAAATCTACAAACCGCCCCCACCCCAATGTTAGGGATCAAACGCAGGGCTTTACTGTGTTGGGCAATCATTGGCCACTAAACCCCTTAATTTGTTTTGACATACAGCCTGTACTGGATTGCCTCAAACTTGTAAATTCTCATGCCACAATCATCATCTCCCATCAGACTACCCAGCAAATATCCAGGGTTGGAAGAAAATCAGTTTAATATTAAGTAATTGTTTCCTCAGCAATAATCTGAGGGATTTACAATAATCGAGAGAAGGTGGATGGACCCAAATAATAAAACAATGTTTGCATGAATCTAGAGATTTCAGGCTTACTGATGATACTCCCTTACACCCTGACCTTTTTGTCTCAGCCTTAGTGGGTTACAGGCACACACCACAACACCAAGAAGTATATTGTACTTCTGAAAGGAAGCTAAATGGAATTTAGAGGACTTAGGGCCTCTGGATATCCAAAGCTTCTTGGCTTTGGGTATAAAATCAAAGTTCATGATTTGGCTTTGATAATGCAGAAAAAGGATGTCTGAGGGCCCTAAAGTCTAAGCTGGTTCTGTTTACTTGTATTCAAAACTTATACCTTCTGCTATACATTGTATTCATCTTTGGTTCCCTCAAATAGAACCAAACCTGGCATGTCAGGGATTTTTAATTTTGGTTGGGTTGTATCATAGAAGATGTGTTCTTAGGATTTTACTCTGTTTAGTTATTGAGGGCCCACTACCATTGAGCTATGCCCCAACTCCTGATTTTACTCTTAAGAAAGGTAGTTGTCTGGAGTTGTAGCTCAGTGCTGCCTAACACACAAAGGCCCTAGGTTCAATCCCCAGCACTACAAGGAAAAGAGAAAAAAAAAAAAAAAAAAAAGAAAGAAAGAAAGAAAACAAATCAAGACATATTCTATTTCAGGTCCAAAAACTAGTTTGTGTCCCACAAAAGGTAGCTTCCTGGTACTGGATAGCATGCCCTAAAGTCACATGGAAAGTACACACCCATCCAGATATTTCTCCACTATATGCAAGAAGAAATTTCTATGAACATACCTCTAAAAGCCAGTCTAGAAGTATTGACCTCATCTGTGGTTCCAAGTCAGAATGCAAAACTTCAAAATGTTTGTCATGCACATATCTGTTCTCCTTTTGTAGCATGTTTAGCCAAACTTCCTGTGAACACCCCCAGCTACATGGGGGCGGGGGACACATAATTGATATCTTGTTATCTATACAAGTTTTGTTTATAATTGCATAACTCCACACTTCCAACTACAAATTGAAAAAAGTAGCTCTTAGCACCAACTTGATAGATTTCCACTTTATTGGTAAATTTCAGGAATGCTGTATAATTCTTATACTTTTTTAAAAGTTATGGTTTAAGGAACCATTTAAAAGCAAACTAGAAAAAAAATTAAAATATGTAATCACAATAATTAAGTCCCAACACTTAAAAATATATCAGCAGCAGCACTTATGTATCAATTTCATTTAATAATGGGGTTAACAAAGTAGTCAGTGTGGGATGATTTATTTAAGTATTTGACTATTAATTTGCTTATTCAACTTAAATGTCAATTACTACATAAATGTTTTCTATAAGCTATATCTCTTACTCATAACTGATAGTAATTGGAATAAGTGGGGCTGTAAGTCAATTGAAAATGCTGTCCATTAAAATTAGTTCCCATTTTATCAGACAAATTATACATTTAAAAAGTAGTTCAGTTCTTCTAAGTTTGGAGGCACTCACCAAGCAAGTGAAAAAGTCTGGGTTTTAAATATATATCACTGGCCATCACTTGCAAATATTGCCTCATGTAGCAATATACATGTTTCTCAGTAAGGGAAGTATTAAAAAAAAAAAAAAACCCTAGTTTTCCTATTTTATAATAGAGTCAATGGCATTATTTTAATTCTGTTTAACCTTTAATATGAAATTATTGAAAAATTTTTACCTTAAATCTGGCAGAGGCGATGGATTAATAAAAAGATTTTTAAATCTGTAATTTGTAAATCTAGAGAAGTCACTTGTTTCTATTTCTTTATGAGGTGTTTCAATGATAATGCAAGGACTGATTCCTCCAGACAGTACAGGTGGCCAACAATTCTGTCATTTCAAAAAAGAAAGAGAAAAACTTATTAGTGCATTGGGAAACCATGGCTTTTGTTCTGCATCTTCAAATGATAGCCAGTTAGATACTCATGTTAAATTTCTAAAGCCATACAATTCATACCATTAGGCAACAAATCTTATTACTACAAGATATTAAGAGTTGAAATTATAATGAATACATTTGTAGAGTAAAATAAAATAATTTTAAAAGAAATTGTTGCAATTATCAGGATTTGTAAATTTTAGCAGGGAAACTTTTTTAAAATAAAAGCTTTTTTTTTTAAGTGTTTTTTTTTAACAATTCAGAAAATTTAAAAATTCAATCAAGAGGTTACTTAGAGAATCTTTTCCAAAAAATTGTCTCCAAGTGAACACATAGGAAGAGGGGTAGAAAAGGCTTCAGCACAGGCTGTCAGATTTCACATCCTTTTTTATGCCAACTTGGTAGCTATTAGGTCCCTTCACTGCAGTCTGAAAGTGAACAAAGAGCTGTATATAGGCGGGCCCTAATATACCAGCCAGCTCCAAGAGCGGGGGATTTACAAAAAGGAACCAGCTGCTTCTAGGCCAACTACATTGTAGCTATAGTATTCAGGGATATACGGAACCCCTTCCTGTTAACCGCGAAGATCATCACAAGTGTCACAGAGGAATCTTCCTACTGTAACCCACCCAGTCCAGGCCTGCATTACCCTGATCTCATACTGATGCTTCTTGGTGATCTCCTCTTTTCTTTTTTTGACATCCTGGAGAACAGGGAAAAAAAAAATCATAAAACCCAGGTCTCAGCAAGAAATTTCCTCCCTTCCCCCTCATTTCTCTTAAATCACCTGTGCTGTTTTTCTCTTCTTGGCCTGAATTATCTGGGCTTCTTGGGGAGAGTCTGGCTGGTTGGGCTGGACATGCTGCTGCTTAGCTTGTAAACGGCTACTGTGATGAATTTTTGAAAGGAAGTTTAATTAGTACGTCATGTATTTCATAGGCAGGGGCTAATTTTGAAACATGTCTCCAAGACTAACAGTGTTACCTGCGTCTCGACATTCTCTTCTTTGAGGCCTATGAAATCTCTAAACGGAAGAGAAAACCAAAATCAACGAGTCAGTCATATTCTCCAAGTGCCAATTAAAACTAATTCAGAAATTAACAGCTAACGTTCTAAAGGTGGCCTGATCCTTGGGGGAAAAATACCACGCTACCTTCTGAAATACATTAGTTATCTCATTTATGGTAATCTTACATACATGCCATCATTTCCTCAACTGAACGTACACTGGGAAAGCAAGTGCGTTCAGAAATTTGCAAAGTTCCCCAGCAGCCCCCTTCCGATGAGGCGTTTTCGGCCATTCACGCATTTCCCTGTACATCCATGGTGGTACATCCATGGTGGGGGAGGCACGTCCCGGCCGCGGCCCGCCAGGCGCCTGGACGAGCCTGCAAGAGCGGGCTCTGAGCAGCCGGTTCCGCGCCAATTTGGAGAGCGGCAGTGGCGGGGAAGCAGGGGGTGGAGGGAACCGCGTCTCGTGTCACGTCCTCCAGGCTCCCTTCCCTCCTTCCCAGCCCCACCCGGCGGGCAGTGCGGCTAGCAGGGGCGACGGGACCCCAATTTCACAGGAGCAAAAGGGAAAAAATCCGGGGTGGGGGGGGATGAGGAAACTCTGCCCAAGAACTTTCCCCGGCAAAGGGTCCACGCCTCCATCCTCTCGCGCGGCAGACCCTCCCTGCCCGAGGCTGGCCTCAGGCTTCTCCCCGGCCTCTCTCCGGGGTACCCTCCATCCCCGGCCTCTCCTTCGCCCCTGACAAGGATCCTGACAGCGCAGCGGCCGGCCTCGGGGACCCACTGGCCCCAGGCTGCTACCTTCGCCCCCTCCCCTCCTCCGCTTCCCTCTCTCATGGCTCCCGCCCGCCGGGGTCGCCGTCCTCCCGCACCCGCAGCAGTCAGCACCTCCTCACCGCCAGACCCTCTCCAGCTCGGCTCAGCTGGCGCCGGCGCCAACTCAATATATAGGCCGGGCCCGGACCGCCCCGCACGCATGCGCCGCAGACTGACACCTCGGCCGGCGCCGTCCCCTCCCCCGCCCAGCTCGCCCGCCCGCCCGCGCGCGCCGCGCCCTGCCCTGCCCTCAGTGCGCGCCCAGCGGCCGCGGGGCTGCCCTCCCGCCGCGCTCCTCCGCCCGCCCTCGGCGCTTCACCTGCGCGCGCCGCGGCCGCCGCCGCCCACAGGCCCCTCCTCCCCCCGGCCCGGCGCCCCGCGGCCCCCGCATGCCCCGCCGCTCGCCCGCGCCTTCCCGCCGCGGCTCTCGGGGCGTCAGGCCGCGGCTCGGCGCGGCCCTCGGGCGAGGGGACGCGGGGCCGCCGGGCCTCGGGGAAGCGGGGTCCTCCCTGCGACGCGGGGCGCGGGAGCCGAGGGCCCGCCCCTCCGGGCGGGGCGGGGCGGCGGCCGAGGAGCCGGCCAATGGCGAGAGAGGACGGCGGCACAACGTGGAGCGCTCGCGGAATGTAAACACGCCGCAGCGCGCGGGCCGCCACGTGCGCGGCCGGAGCCCGGGCCCGAGCCGTTCGCCGCCGCCGCATGAGGTACGTGTGGGCCCCGGCCTCGCGCCCCGCACCGGCCGGCGGGGAGCCCTGGCGCCGCGCCCTGCCCTGCTCCCCCGGCGGCCCTGCCTCTGTTCCCCGCGCGGAAGCGGCCGCCGGCCCCGTCCGCTCGAGTGCGGGCTCCGGGGACCGGCCGCAGGCCACGTGCGCGCCCCGCCCCGCCCCGCCCTGCCCCGCCGCCAGCGCGCCCTGCGGAGCCCGCGCGAACCGCCTGCGCGGGAGAACCGCCCGCCCGCCCGCCCGCCCGCGAGCCGCTGGGACGTGGCGGGCCGCCGGGCCGCGATCCGGCCGTTTCAGCCCAGCCTCCCACCACCGCTCAGACGCCTGCTCATCACGGGCCCCGGTGCGGTGACACTCCGCGCACAGCCCTCCGCTCCGGGAACAAAGGCCGCCGGGCGGGCGGGCAAGGCCGGCCGCCCTTCCGAGATGCACGTGGAGCCCGCGGCCCACCTTTTGTGCCGCCTGCGCCCGAGCCCCTCGGAGCCCGGGAAGGACCTTTGGATTCTCAGGACACTTTCCCAGACTGACACGTAGGCGACAGGATCAGGGACAGGCACAAGAAAGCCCTCGGCCTAAGAAAGTTCCATCAACCAATGGTGCTCATCTGCCGTGGCTCTAGACAGGGCTCGAGTTGCTGCCCTCTTGTACAGCTTAGAGATCTGACCTGTGGTAAATGTGTGTTAAGTGAGTGTAAGCTAAACAGATGGCCTGTAGCCTCAGCTCCATGGTGAGTTCAAGACCAACCCGAGTTATGTGTGACATTGTCCTAAAAAACCAAACTGGTGGCCTGTGTGCGCGACCTTGATCAAGATGTACTGAAAAGGAGGGATGTCGTTATTATAAATTAAATAAGTCATTAGAATTGTGGTCAAATCTGAGCTGTTGTGTGAGCAGGGTAGTGAAAACAAAAATAGGATGATTCTCTTGGGCATACACCCAGAAGAATTGAATCAACAGAAAACAAAGATACTAAGCCGGGCAGTGGTGACACTCGAATTTAATCCCAATATTTGGCAGTCAGAGGCAGGTGGATCTCTGTGAGTTCGAGGCCAGCTTGGTCTTCATATTGAGTTCCAAGACAACCAGGGCTACACAGAGAAACTCTTGAGAAACCAGAAGGTGTCTACAAGAGTTTATTATGGCACTGATATTCACAATACCTAGGTTACAGAATCAGCTTAAGCGACTGTCCAATGAATGGGTAAAGAAAACATGCTAGACATACACAATCGAGTATTATTCAGTCACAAAGAACAAAGTTATATTTGTAGGGAAATTTATGGAATTGGGACATAATATTAAGGGAGATAAGATTCAGAAAGAAAGGTACAGCATGTTTTCTCATGCAAAACTAGATTAAAATTAAAGTGCTCAGTGGTAGAGCACTTGCCTATCATGAGTTTGATCAACATGTTGGTGGTCATGAAATAAAAAGGGGATGTTTATAGAGAAGCGGAACAAAAGTGGGTAGTGGGAGATACATATGATCCGGGCTTTATGCAGGCATATAATATGAGGAAACCTTTCTGTATAGCTAATATGTGCTGGTAAAGAAGATTAAATTTGGAAATGTACAGAGATTCCTTAAATACCAACCAGTCACACAGTTGATGATCAATAAATACTAGAAGGCAGAGAGAGGCAGGTAGATCTCTGAGTGTGAGCTCAGTCTGGTCTACAGAGCAAGTTCTAGTACTTGTTGGGTATTTTTAAGTGTCATCTTAAGAATGTCATCTTTCATATCTTAAAGTTCATTTTTGGTGTCTTCCCCCCTCCAGTTTTACATTTATCTGCTTTAAAATGTATAAAATTCTGACAAGCATGGTGACCCACACCTTTAATCCCAGCAGGACAGGTGGATCTTTGAGTCAGGTCTGCATAGTAGGTTTCAGGACAGCCAGGACTATGTAGAAAAAGTATAAAATTCCTTTATTTTCTGAAGAATCTACTGTGCATGCCCTAAAATCTATGGCCAATTGTGGTGATTATTTTGTTTGTGGATCTAACAAATAAAGCTCACCTGGAAATCAGAGTGCAAAGCGAGGCACATTAGTTAACCATGGAGACCAGGCAGTGGTGGCACACACCTTTAATCCCAGCACTCAGGAGACAGAGGCAGACAGATCTCTGTTAATTCAAGGCCACCCTGGGCTACAAAGAATTTATCTAAAAGAGAAGCAGAGCTGACACAAAGGTGATCTCAGCACTTGGGATCGCACACCTTTAATCCCAGCACTAGAGAGGAATATCAGATGGGAGGAGACAGGAGCTCAGTGCAGCTGGGGTCTGGTGAGACAGATGCCTTTTGGAGATGCAGTCTGAGGTCAGGATCGCCCTTCAGTCTGAGCATTGGTGGAGGTGAGAACTCTCTAGTGGCTGGCTGCTTTGCTTCTCTGATCTTCAGCTTTAGCCCCAATATCTGTCTCCGGGTCTTTATTATTAATACCAATTGGAATTTGTGGTACAGCTAATAAACTGTTAACCTCTACAACATTTCTTAGAGCAATTATTTTGATTGTTCTATGTTAATTTTCAGGAGAAAAGAAACCTACAAAGGTTCTTTATTTTCCAGAAAGCAAGGTTTGGGTTTATACCTGTTTCTTTGGTTACTGATAAACTGAGGCAGGGTTGTTTGAGCCCAGGCTCCGAGGCTAATCTGAACAGAATAGTAAAACCCTTTTTCTTCAAATAAAGTCAGACGTACTTCTTATTCCTGTGTCTTTACCATGCCCTCCCAGATCTTTATTTTTGTACAACAGTTACCTGTTAAGCCCTGAACCTAGCACCTCCTGTATAAGTACCACTTAGTATATTCTTGACCTCATTTTTACTTTTATTTTTGAGATCAGGTCTCAATAAGTTGCCTGGGCTGGCCTGTGTCTGCAGCTCTCCTGTCTCTGTCTCTGGCATAGCAGGGATACAGGCCTGCACCACCAGGCCCAGCTTTGCTCATATTCTTATAGTTTGCTAACATAGTGGTTCAGAGACAGGGTTCAGGACCTTGGTAGATGCTAATCTGCTAGATGATGGGTAGGAGAATTAACTAAGATGCCTGTTTCACACACGTGCCCAGTAAGTCATACTCCAGTGTCACATGTTTGTTGTCATGATATATTTGTCATTAATAAGTCAGTGTTGATATGTTATTATTAACCAAAGTATATACTTTATTCAGATTTCCTTAGCCTTTACCTAATGGATGTTTGGTTTCTTTAAGATAGGTTCCCATGAATCTCAGGATGGCCTTGAATTGTATTTGCAGTTGAGGATAGCCTTGAACTTACTGACTCCAGTGCTGGGGTCACAGGTGTGCTTTATCATTACCAATTTATATGGTTGTGGGTGGGGCTCTAACCCATTGAGACAGGATCTCTCACTGTCTTTGGCCAGCTCTATCTGGCCTTGAACTTGCTAGCCAGCATTACCTTGAAGTTTTGGCGTTCCTGCCTCCTTGTCCCACATGTTGGAATGGCAGGCGTGCATCATTG